TCTATAATTTAGATGTAGAGAAGACACGCCTAAATTATTTATATGTACACATAAAGCGTAATTGCATAGTTGCAGTCACATGCAGCCGTCATGAGTGTTTATCATATTCTGTTTCTGGACAAAACAAATCTTACCACGCATATTCTGATTCACACATCATTATGGGGGCGATCTCCTACCATTCTTCATCACTACGGTTTGTAATATTAATTTCTATTTCCATGTATGGGATCGGCTATAGGGTTTATGTAAGTACTGTCATCAGCAGCGTTATATAAGATCGTATGACGTGATTATTTTGGGAATGACGAAATTTTTAAAAGTATTTATTATAAACAGTTACTATTTTTAATACAGAAAGGGAAATAGCCAAATTCAGATGAATTGTTAAGGAACTATTGCAAATTCCAGTTAGAATTTTGATTTACACATTTTTTTATGTTACATACACACTCACACACACACACACATACATATATGCCTGTGAGTAACTGTAAGGAAGGAAAAACAGTAATTCTTATTGCATGAGATTTTTGTGTCGTTGGAAACACAAACTGTAGACTGACAGTGAAATAATCATCGTAATATAAAGCAAATGAGAAAATTCGGTGAACCAAAAAAGTGCGTGAAAAAACAGTAAGAAATAATAGCTTAAAAATATCAATTTATAATACAAATTGTCTTCCAGATGGCGTCATCTCGTCTGGAAGGAGCGGGCTACACGTGACATACAGTCAACCTTTTAGGTACTTGTTTCTTTATGTACAACTCAACTTTCTGAATGTTCAATGAGAAAACTATCAATTAATAATTGTCAGTATAAGATTAGAATCTGTGAATACACGTAACTGGATGAACAAATGTGGATGAAAGTTTTTGATAAAAATTATAGATATGAATATGCATAAAGAGTTATATGTTTAAAAACTGAGAAAAAAGAGTGATAAATATGCAATAAATTCGTAAATATCGAAGCTATTCTCTTTTAGCATAGCGAATAATATAATCGAGTAAATGAAGTAGTAGTCTGACAATTGTTTAAAAAAAATACTTTTGCATTTAAAGCTATACTTTATAATTTTTTATTTACAATTTTCATCCACATTTATCAATCTTGCTTTATTTTTTACAGATTCAACAAGTCACATAAGAGGGACTGCACAGCTTTTACTCTTAATTCACAATTATTAATTAATATTTTTGTATTTTCCAAGTTTTAAGAGAGATATACTCAGAAACATGACTATTAATTGTTGATTGTATTTCGTGCATACGCGTCCTCCGATGAGACGACACACGATAGAACAGAAATTTCTACTGATTTTTTCATCTATTTTTTTGAAGATTTTTTGCTTGTACCACTTTTTTCAGTTTATCAGATTTCCTTAATTGCTTCATATTTTTATGGTAATTTTACCTGTCGACTCTCATTTACGTGCTTCCACCAAAACAAAATTCTCATGTAATATGAACTAGTATATTTTCGCTCTTTTACTAACTTTTTGGTCTGTTATGATGAAGTTGTTTTCCATACAGCAGATTATAGCGCGTATAGTTCTGTGCAGTTTTTCTTTAATGAGGGTAATTCAAAAACTTTTTGGCAAATTTTAAAGGTAAGTCAGGAACCCAAATCCAGACTATTGCTACATAAGGGAGTGTAGTCATAAACGCCATGCGACTACTTTGGGGATACAAGAATGATGGAAAATAGAGGAATTTCAAACAAGGTAGCACAGCATGTCTATTAAACTTACATTTGGGGTTTAAAATTCATTCCATCGGCGGCACTATATGCATCGCAAGTTCGAAGCATTTATCAACGAATGGATTAAAAATGCCGCTTTCTCGCGGGTCAGTGCCTTGAATGAAAGTTATTCATCCTGCAAATACATATTCTGGCAAACACCTGGACGGCATTTGTGGCAACTAACTGTCCTTATGCAAAAATAATAACGTGTTCTTGACTTGCCTTTAAATTTTTCATTGGTCGGTTCAGTCTCGCTGTATGGGTATGAGCGCTTGAAATCAGTATTGCAGTGCTTGAAATGAAATAAGTGAAGTCATTGTGATACTAAAATATTTTGCAGCTTCCATATAGCTTAAGTACGGAAATATTAAGCTGAAAGTTTTATGATGTCGCGTCGATTTAGCTGAAAAGGTTTTCCGTGGCTTTTGCAGAAATACAGAAACTAAATTATTTGAAAAATTACACATATACGTGTATTAATCCCACACAATTTGAAAATAGCTGAGGAAGTGTCGTTATGAAAAACACACACACACTCAGATTTCTCCCCTCTCTAGAGGTAATTTGCGTTTCAACGGAAAGTGATTCATCCGAAAAATCTCCACAGAACATCTTATTTTGTTTATTAAAAATTACATCAAACATAATGTATAAAATAAAATAATTTTAATAGCTAATTCGCAGCGTGGAGGATTACATCAGATCTGAACTTACGGGTATGCGTCTCATTCACAATGAAGTTCGCTGCAGTGGCTGCTCTGCTATATATTCAACGATGTGAAAGGGCAAAGCTTAGAAAACACATTGCGAAATATGATGAAGGTGCTCAATTTTGAAAGTATTAAAACTTCCTTTTTTGATATGCTGATCAACATCTGTATACAAGCACTTCTCTCCTTATTAGAAGGAACTACGTATAAGTGCGACTACAAGCGTCGTATTGCACTATGCGAGCGCCATATGGCACTGTACCATATAGCTTCAACTTTCTAAGGAATTTTTAAAAATATAGTAATACATAATGAAATGAACTTGTTGCTTGTTTAACGGTTATTGATCGATGTTTAAAAAAATATTGTGATTCTATAATTACTGATTTGAGGCACCTTATTTATATATGTGAGATGAAACATTGACTTGAATATGTTACATCCCATTCAATCTCCTTTTTAATTTGGTTATTTCCCTTTTCTGTTCTAAAATCAGTAACATAATAACTGATGTGCATGATATCAAAAACAAGCCCTGCAGTATGATTATTATATTATGTAAAGGACGCATGGACTTAATGGTAAATGCGGAAATAAATTTTTTTTATTCAATTAAAGTTAAATCGAAATTTTAACTTTAACAGTGGTATTAAAACAATATTTTGTCCCCTTGTTATCAGGAAATGTGGATAATAGATTCAATCTATAAGTCGTTAGAGCGGCAACACTCCAAACCTCCTGGATAGTACATAACTTTGGGATTGGAGCACAGCGTAACTTATGCACTAACCTTGCGAAAAATGGTAAGACTGAAAACAAATGAAGGTAGTTGCAACGAGAGGGCTTACTGCATTACAAAAGTATTTTATAAACTTGAAACCATATGCCAAAATCGATAATTTTAAACAAATTAAAACTAAATTGCAAAAAATTATGTATGCTTCGAAATAAGTTCCTTGATTACATCCATTTACCGAAAACAGAGATTTCTAGTCTCAAATTAATATTTCATTTAAAGAGATAGGTGGCTTTATACAAAAACCACGTTATCGTTTAGTGATTCAAACACTTAGAAGAAACGGAACCTGGGAACTGCGCAACGTGCAAAGAAAACACAAACCAGTGCAATTCGTTGTTTTTTTAAGCATTCTTTTCTAAAGAAACTACCTTTGTTGTTTAAGAAAGGGAGCACATCTGGTATTTTTCCTCAACCGTGTGCAGTGTCAATTCTAATAAGACTCCTTTTCAAATTAGGCAATTGGTAGACGCCGCATGATGCATTTAAAGTATCAGTTATCTTTAAGTAGAAAAGACTTCTAAACTTCGAATAATTTCATCTACCCCTGATAAAAAATAACGATTTCTTAAGTTTATCGGATATTCTAGTAACAATGCATGAAAATTAAATTAGCATTGATTAATAAAGGAGAACATTCCGTACAGAAAAGTTTCGCCCATAAATAAAAATATTCGTTATAACAAACTGTAAAAATCCTGCTCATTCTGAGATTTACTATATTGCCCAATTCAAAAATTATTTTTGAAATTTAGGTTGTTGCTAGATGCAAGAAATTTAGTGTTTCATACTGCTGGTATGACAAGCGCTAAGTTAAAATAAAAAATATCTATCCTTTCAACAGTAAAAATAATAAAATAATATAAAAAAATATGATTTTACTCATTGACCTAATAATAATTTAATTTAATACATTTTAAATATAAGAAATTTTTTTAATTCTTAAATCCGAGCTTGTTTTACAATTTTTTTTTTTTGTTAAACTAAGTTTAATAACTAAGTTTTACTGTCCTACATATATTCAATGCTCAAAAGCGTAAATTTCGTTTTGTAAACTGAATATATTTCATCCTGTTTTTAGAAAACAACCATAATATCTATTTAATGCCATCCATACTCGAAATATAATAATTAGAGAGATGTAGTGACTATTCGGTAATTGAAAAATACTACACAAAACGGCAAGATATTCTTCAACGCGGTTTTGCAAAATATAACGATGATGTAAAATTGCTGAAACAGGGTATTCAGTACAATGATTTGAACTTCTGAGGTAACATTATTAAATTTTATGTTATTAAAAATTTAGAGAATTTCTGCCATTTTATTTTGCCTTAAATTTTGAAACAGATCATTTCATGAAATTATGAACTACTGTCAATTGTGTAATTCATGAAGAAGGTAAAAATTTTCATATCAGTAATAAGTCGAACTTCTGTTTGGTCCATAATATACTTCCGATTTTTACCCATCAAATATTTATAGATTTAACCTTAAAAATACTTAAAAAACTGCCAGCTATGGGAAGAAAATATTGCGTTAGCAAACACTAAATGTTATTTATGTTATATTAAATATCAGTAAATATTTTAGATGAAAGAATATTGAAGATGAATGAAATGTTTCTAAACCACTTATAATATGATTACCATTGATATTTCTAAAGTTTCGAAATTTTTCTCAGTGAGATTTAATTGTCTTTTTCTGTTTAAGATTGCCATTAATTTACGTATTTTTTCTGTTTCAGAAATTATGCTCCTGACTGCGTGGGTGCGTACCATGAGTTTATTCCACGACATTAAGTTAAAACGTCGTAAAGTAGACACCCACTGCAATAGTGACGGTGAGATTAGTGCTGATGTTAACACATCATCACCAGAGAGCATAACAACTGAAAACCCTACAAGGGACGGAGACGCCGGTTCAGCATCTGGCGGTTCTACGAGCCAGACATACCTTTCAGAAGATGGTGTATCTCTTGCGTCTGGATCTCCGCCGCAGTTAGAAGTAATGTGCCCTGAAGTTTCTGTATCGCGTAATGATCGTGATACTAGTCCCCGCCCAGATCAGGACACGAAGTGCAAAGGAGAAATGAGAGACAATGATTACATTGTTAATGGTATTGTGGAAAGCCCGCAACATGAGCGCAGAAATAGTGTCTTCGATGGTGGAGGTGAAAGAAGTGATGGTCCAGAAGGTTTAGATCTAAGTCGCAATAGAAGAGATACATCAGACGGCAACAACACATCTAGATCATCATTCGAAGAGTCTAATGCATCAGTTTTACGATTGGTTAATAATGCATACAAACCTCCCCTTCTAATGGGAGACATACCCGGTGCGGGTCCAGGAAAGACTATGGTGTGGTCAACGCCAAGTAACGATCGTTATGATTGCACAAATTTCTTGCCACCTCTTGTTGTGGAGAATACAAAGCAAAACGCATCTTCACCTACAAAATTGTCCCCTATTTCTGGGAGCAACCACATATGCTCTTCTCTTTCACCTTTGTCGCAACAAGTTACCATATTGCCACCCTCAGCATGTGTAACCTCTGCAGTGGTTCCTGCATTTCCGACTTCACATTATAATACTTCTCAAACTAAACCCACTTTTGTACGTGCTGTGAACTCTTATACTTCTTGTAACAACGCCAGTAGAGATAACTTAATGTGTTATGCTGCCAGTACTAGCCGAGCCTCTTTCAGCGGACGAGATGATAGTGTCCCTCGCTTTTGGCACAGCAATGGTTTAACAAACGGAGATTCTTCTAAAACCCTTACAACCATCAACTCTCCGTCTTCGTCAACGCATGTGCCTGATTCACAAGCTCTAAATCTTACGGTAAGTGGGCCAGTTATTAGAAAAAGTGAAGTATCAGCCGCTCCATCATCATCTGTTACTCGGACCGGTAATGAAGAAGAGGATGAAACGCCTATGGTGTGCATGATTTGTGAAGATAAAGCAACGGGCCTACACTACGGTATCATCACCTGCGAAGGGTAAGAATGAGTACTTATTTCATGGCTGGAGCTCAAAATTTATTTGAAGTGCATTTCGAGCAGAACAGTTTTGTTTTGTTCCGAATAAATGAGATTGTATCATAAATACTTGTTTTATATCTATAATCGTGTTTACAATATTGAATTTTTCAGGAATATGGTATAAATGTTATCGAGTTTCACTCCAGTTGAATTTGGGATCAAAATTAGCCATATACTATGCTGAGGTTTTTTAAATGTTTTTCGGAAACATTTCTATTGGTTCTTTCTTTTACTTCGATAACTTATTTTTGGAAAGAAAGAGATTTTTTCTTTTGATGTCTGACTCCATTTTGGAAAATTCGGAGAGTTTACTTTAATCCTCAAGATTCCTTTAATTTTCTCAAGATTTTTAGGTGCATGTAAAGAGAAACAAACAAACAAACAAAACAAAAAAAAAAAAAAAAAAAAAAAAAAAAAAAAAAAAAAAAAATGGTTGATTCCGGTAACAAAGCAGAAATGCTACGAGACAATCAAAATTAAATATTTTAAATGTGTTTGACTTCAAATTTAAAGACATGAACTAAGAATTTTGAAAAATTACATTTTAGAGTTTAATTTTTGCATCAAAGCAGAGAATAATAATGTTTGAGCTGAATAATAAAGCTGCGACATTTAATACCAGCTTTTATCAAATGGCAAGACTGACAAATTGTGAAAATGAGCAGTCAAAAGTGATTATTTCCAGAACTGTAATCGCGCGAAACTGGTTTAAACTTCGTTTAGATTTGTTAGAAAACGGCGATGTTTAGTATATATGAATATCGAGTCTAATTTTGATATTTATGGTACCTGAACTGAATTTTAACGGTTAGAACAATAACACTCCGTTTGGTGTGAAATCAGAAACATCTGAGAAGACCTAGAAGATAACATGAGCTTATCATTTAAAACTTAGGTGAATTATCGATTCTAATTTTCATATTTATAAGCTTAATTTTAGTGGCTAGAACACTCCGTTTGGTATGAAATAAGAAGCACCTGAGAAAACCTGGAAAATAAAGTGAGTTCATCACTAAGAGGAATTATCGACTCTAATGTTTTTTATTTATGTTAGCTGAACTTCATTTTGGTGGCTAGAATACAGCACTTACCTCGTAAGTTAGCAGTTTATTTCCTAGATAAGTTTAAACTATTATAAGATAATTTGTAATAAAATATACAATCTTAAAGTGTAATATCATGTATGTTATTCTCAATGATGTTAAGCTGTTCTAATCTTATATGCATAGATAGAAAAGCTGTTATTTGTTTAATTAATTAATTAATGTTTTTACATATACTCCAGAAAATTCATTGAAGTACGAAGAAAAAGTCTCCAAGTGTTTTTCTAAGCATAGCTTAACTGGCGAAGATGCAGATTTTTCACCCTTTATGATGAGAAAAACCTTAGCATTATCAATCATTTTGGCATTCAATTTCTGAATCTAGCTTGTAGCTTTTTATTTTTATACTCGCACGTAAACAAGCGCTTATGTACGCATTCAATGGCGTCTCTGAGTAGCCGAAGGCCATTCAAAGCGATTTTGAAACATTTGATTGAGTTCAAGGGAAACCTCAAAATGGCCTCGTCTCGAATTGTTATATCGCATAATGTTTGTGAGCTGAGGTGGAAAAGAAAATGTGCTGCGACGTGAGTAGGGTAGTTTCGGGACTTGGTATGCCATGAGAGAAAGTAAACTAGGATCAAGCTGTGGATTTAAATAACACCCAATTACAGTTTTTAACTGATGAGCATTATCGTTAGACTATCTTCTAAATGCAATTGTTTCGATTAAAACTGCTAGTTAGAGGTAATTGGGAGGAAACTAATGCTAATGCTTTCTTACTCTGTTATATTATATTCGCATATATCTTGATTTAAGATCGCATCTTTTCCCGAAAAGTAAATCATCTTATAATTTAGTAGTCATTGAAGATATTTTCATAGATTTCTTTTTGTGTGTTCGCTACTTCTTTCGTACTAAAGTGTTTCATTAAAATGCGAAGTTAGTGAGCAATTTAATATAGCAGAGTGCATCAATGCCATCAGATTTGTCAGTAAAAACCTTTATTTAATTATTTTTCTCCTCTTTTAATTTGAAGGCCAAAATTAATTGTCGTAAACGCATTAAAGGTAAGGTGTTTGAAGGCTTTGGCTTATCCGCATTACTAAGTGAATGTTTTAATTCTTTCAATGATAAACTTAATATAAGCCATTCAAGCAGAATTTATTGATTTATTTATTTTGATGATGAAACATATCTGAGATTAAGAACTGATATGATTAAGAAAATTTATTGCTTTTGAATCAGAAATATATCTACTTAAGGGTACTGTAATCAGTTTTAGAGATTATGTTCTTCATATGGTCCTAAAAAAAGAGAAAACATCTCAAGAACTTTTGCAAAAGCCACCTTGGCAGTCTTCCTTAAGCTCCAGAATATTAAGTTAAAATATCACAAATTAACTAACATCCGTATATGCGCTCTCTGTACTCTGTACTCTCTAATCGATTTTAAAATTATTTAAGGGCTTTAAGGTGATCGTACTTGTTGAAAAAATAAAATTAACTTATCTGAAGTGACCAGATGTACCGATTTGAGCCGGACAACTCTGTAAACATGACAAAAGTAAGCGTTTTCTGTAAAGCCGTCGGAACTAGAACAATGCACTCAAAGCATGTGAAGTCTTCTCTGAACTCGCCTCTTACTCTCAAAATTATAACTAAAAGCAATTTTCTGAATCATTTAAGCATTCAGTTGTTAACTTTTATTGGAATCTTATTTTAATGATAGAAAGTGTTTGAAAGACCTATCTTGCGAATGAAAAGTCTATAAGCACTGCTATTTAAAGGTCTATGAATCTCTTTTACATCGTGGCTGATTAAAAAAGTTACGATGTATTTTTAAAGGCAGGTCATAAACAGCTTTAATTAAAAAACACTCCAGGCTAGTCTTCCCGTTTTGTCAAAGAAAGTCTTCAGCATATTCTTGAGCAAAGCTTCCCCCACTTAACAAAAGCATTTATTCATGCATTGCGTGAATTATTTTGTGTCGCAGATAAGGGAATATGATACACGTTACATCGAAGAAAAATTAGTAATAATACAATGCTTAAATACGGCATAATAGTGCACTACATAACGATCATAACAGTATAATAAGTGTTGTATTTTTCATGTCAATACTAACAAGACCTCTTCAATTTCTCAGTAACGCAAAAACACTTTAAGAATCTCTGATCTATGTATAAATCGTTCTCCATTTATAATATCTCTATCGATCTAACTCGAAGAATTTGTGGTGTAACCAGAAGCAATACCCGAATCATACTTTAAAAAAGGTATAGGGTGTCTAGACTTCTCAGTCAGTGCAAGAATGCAATGACTAATTACAGAGAGCTGTACTTAATCTTTGGAACTTTGTATTTAGCATCACTAGTTACAAAACTATGCTAGCGGCCTTTAAACACAGGTTTTTACAGGATCCATATAAGAAGCTGATCATGTGTTACAATCGATAAAGTTTTATTTTTTTAAAATCGATACAGTAATTATCGATTATAGGTAACCTAAAAATGTGTGTTTTGTAGTGCAACGTCTATCATAGTGGCTGACATATTTTGATATGTCGTGTCACATTCATATATGTAATGTGTTATGTACATACATACTCATGAATAAATGCATAATTATGTATGTATACATAAATATGTATCTATATTGTACACGTATTTATTTGTCGTGTCATAATCATGTCTATCATATTCTGTCATGTCGTCATATTCATGCAAAATTCGTGTATGTTCATATGTCATATTTGTGTTTGTCATACTCCGTCTCTTTCTGTTCTAAATACGATTAAGAATAGGGCATATTAGGATAAACAATTCGAAAGTCCGTGTCATATTATAAAAGGCATGTTGTTCAATATCAGATATTTAAAAGTCTGCATTAATGAATGGGAATTAACATTATACGTACTAGTAGTTCGGTATGCTTGCACAATAATAGTTAATATTGTAGAATATATAATGTTCTGAAATATATATAATAAAAGTCTTTAATTTGCCAAGGTTGAGTTCTGATATGAAAGTATTTATAAACTATATAAAATCAATTGATATAAATATTTATTTCCGTTATTTCTTGTTTAATTTGGTCCGGTTTTTCAGACAGCAAGTTTGAGTAACACCTGCATAAATTTATTAATCAGTCAGTCAATTATATTTATCAGTTATTAATTTCTTTTTCTTAATTCAGGAAAAAATTTTTCCATTGATGTGGTTGATGCTGGTGTTAACATAATTAGTATTCACAATGTTACGAGTATTTCTGGTCTTCAAATATGATGTTATATCTAAGTGCCAAATTATTCTTAAAATAAATCAAAAAGGAAACACCTGTTATATAGAAATTTAATGAAATCACGTGATACACGCAAGCGATCCCAATCATCATAACACTCTCTGATACTTTGGAAAATACGACCAATTTACGTCTCATTTTTTGCACTCAGGTAATGCTTTTACACCGGGTTGTTTTAAATAAAAGTTCCATCATGGTTGGCCCAGTACCTTTTTATCATTTATTCATCTTTTTCTTTCATGTTTTATTATGTTTTCTTTTACCTCTTAATTTTTTTATGAAGACATTGACATAGGAAATAGGTAAATCAGTTAACGCTTTAAAAATGGAAGCAGATTTTAATGGCGCAAGCAAACTGCTGTAGTATCAGATTTACACTGGAAAGTACGCTTGTGACATTTCTCCTGTATTTCATTTATTTTTATCTTGGCATAACTGCTACTAAGACTAACCAACCAGTTTTGATTCAGAATTATAGTTTTGGCAACATAATCACATAATACTCCTCCCTTCCAAATAGCAGCGGATATTTTTTGGCGGTGTCTTGTATTTATTTATATATCTGAGGCATATAGATGATTACTAGGTTATGTTGAATGCGTTTTTTTCATTGAAAGAAACTGAGGAATCGTTGTTTCTTTTATATGAAATTTGTTAAAAAGTTTAAATTACAGTTCAAAAAATCATCCTGAACAACCGGGAATATACGAGGTAAAACGTGGTTCTTTTTTAATGATCAGCAAGTGCAACACTGTATTCATTTAGAAGATTTATTAATTTAATATAGGCCTTTTTTCCTATTTTGGAATCAATAGTTCGATGGTAGCCTCCAAATAGTAGCTTTTCGTTTGTGAGGAAATGTGTATAATTTTTCGGTCGATTTAAAATTCAATGCTTTTATCATTGCACCGTAGTGAAGCTTTACAGATATTTTTGTTGTTGAAGTCTGAATACTGATTTCTCTACTAAGCAGCTTTATTGCATGTATTCAGCATGGAAATTTGTTTAAATGCTCTTAATTTTACCTTTATATTTACTGCCCCGATTGGTTAAAGAAGGGCAATGGCTAACGTTTTTCAATATTTATTGTTTTTAAGAGAAGATTAAAAGCTAAATATCTTTTCAATTAGGTCCGAATATGTTTTTAAAAAACATTTTTCATTCTCAGTGCTTCATTTCAGTAAGATTTTAAGCTTTAAGAAAAGCGGTTTCATTTAGTCTTACAGAGTTAATATACTGTTGTATGGAATTATTAAAAAAATCCGAACTTGGAAAAAACGTTAAACTAATTATACTTTACATTCTTACAGTAAACACTGAAGGAACAAGTTTTGTGGAAAATGACAGTCACACTCTTCTTAAGAGTGGTAACGGCAACCGCACAGAGTTTGCCAGAAAATTTTTAACTATACTAGCAACAGCAGAATTAAAATGTGACGTCAGTTACACTGTGATTTTTTGTAACGTCATAGGTATGTGAGCTCACATGATATCTGACATCCTCACAAATTCAACTTCTGTGTGCGGACTGTAATTCCGTTCTTGGTTGTATTATTATGCAAGTTAGTTTCGAAGAAAATCTTAAAATCTTAGTGCTGATTTTCCGTTGTTTAGATCTCCATGTCTTCTTTTAATTAATTCTCAGTTAGTTTAATAATTTTTTTAGCTTATTTACTCATTTCTGTTATGTGCATTCTCACGTTTGGGCTGTTAAAACTCTTGCACTAATTGTTTTAATTTGTTATTTTATTTTTTACGTGCTTTAAGTTCACAATTACATAGACAAAAAACTTTCGTCTTTCATTCCCTCTAACCAGTTTTCAAACATGGGTAATTTAAACCAAGTATTTCGAAAGAAGATGCTGAATTTATCACGTCACTCATAATTCATACTTTAATTAACACAGCAATCATAACTTGCCTTTAGACTTCTTCTCCCAGAATACCAAAAAAGAAAACTTTCAAACAGCTATTTTTAAGCTATTTTGAAATAGCTATTTTTAATCACATAAATATGTATTTACTTTACTATGACTAATTCAGCTACGGAAAGCTCTTTTTGATTGAATTTTGTTCTACAGCTTGCATATAAAAGTTTGTTTCGTTAATTTTTACAAAGAGTTATCTCGTGACGAATCCCGTATATGAACTTGCTGCCTTATTTGATTTATTTCATAAATTTTAGTCATGTATATACGTTCAAGCAATGTTTTGTAAACACTCTACGCAAGCTTCTTCGAGTTTGGTTTATTTGATTATGACAAAGCAACTCGGGGTTATCTGCCTAAGACGAGGAATAGACTTCGTGGTGGACTTTCTAAGGAAAGTGGCTCGTGTGACAACAAAAACGCCCATGCAGACAGCCCGTTCGTCGGGATTTGAACCCCAGACTGATTGCCAGTGTCCAGCGACTTTACCGCTGAGTTACTGGCAAACCAGTCTCATTAGGAAGAGGAACTATGCAATATACAGACGTTCCAGCTTCATTCGCAAATGAGTATTCCCTCGATGTCATGGTCTTTAGAGAATCGAACAGCGACCGACCGATAAATTCGCCGAGCAGTGGTAGTTCGACCTAAGCGATTCCAAGCGAATGGTTTGGTTGCATGGGAGTTTCCGTGGGTTTTAACTTGTGTAACATGGGTACAAGCCAATTTCCCTTAGAACCACTTCCCGAAGGTATTGTCCCCTTAGGCAGATAGCCCTCGAGTGCTTTGGCTGTAATTAAATAAACCAAAACTTAAGGTTTTTGACGAGGCAGAGGTTTTTACTTTCTTTCTTTTTTTCCCCCTAATTAGCTTTTAAAGGACGTGTTGCGCAAGAGGAAATTCATTATAATTTGATATTTAATAGGTGCTAGGATAATTTTTTATGTTTTTGAGTTACCATGTTATGCGTTGTGGTCAAATTTGAAGTCTTTTTTTGTGCATGCCTGTGTAGCTAAGTTGAAAGTTTTCGAGCCCAGGTAGTTTAGATTTCCGATTATTTCGAATTCAGCTTTTGTAGTCGGTTATTGATTAAAACTAATTTCCTTATTGCAGATGGAACTCTTTCTCTTATACCGAAGTCATTCTAATTGATGCATATAACTATGTACTACTGATTGACGAGGATTGTTCATGTTTTAAACATTCACTAAGTTCATACATTTCTTATTTTAGTTTCCATTCAACAACTGATTAAAAAATATTAATGCTGAAAATCCGGTGACGTCTTTGATTCTTTCAGGTGCAAAGGTTTCTTCAAACGGACGGTTCAAAACAAGAGAGTATATACTTGCGTATCTGAGGGTAACTGTGAAATAACAAAAGCTCAGCGAAATCGATGTCAGTACTGTCGATTTCAGAAGTGTTTACGTCAGGGTATGGTTCTGGCTGGTAAGTATGAATTGTTTATATTATTTTGTTTGAAATTAGTTTTATTAATGAATGTTTAGCTAAACAAATTAATGGAGCTAAGAGTAAATGATAAAATTTCGCGTACTTGTATCATGAACTGTATCAAGCCCACTATACAACCCCGCAACAAAATTTTAAGAGAAAAGCAGTAAGACCTTCCCCGGTTTTAATTACGGGTCTCGAAAAAACATTTCTAGTTGAATGATACAGAAGTAATAAAATTAGAAATTAAATTTTTAAATCTTGATAAATTACTCAAAACTGTTGAGAGACAAACTAGGCAGTTCTTCTAGAATATGCAACAGCAGTCATAAAAAGAACTGCAGTTAACCACTTGCGTTGACAGCAAATTCACATATGCACGTTGTTAAAGGGCTACACGGCAGCTCACCGTGAAGCGTCAGTTTAACGAAAATATTCAGTATAATTTTTATTGGCCTACCCAATGAATTTTATACGGATATGAGTGCTAATTATGTTTATTAATAATCATTGAGTAGAATTTTCCTTAGAAAATGTTTATTTTAATATGGCGGGCCCTAGCCATTTTAGGCTTTGGCCACTACCAAGACCATAAGCGGTGGTCATTTTATTATGAAGGCACCTAATAGGCGGCCATCGTTGCCTCCCATGAAGATACAGCCAATTTACATCCATGCCTCCTTCGGTACGGCAGTCAGAGTCATAATCCACTTTCCCGTCTGGTCCGGGCTTTCTTGAGAAACGTCCCTATTGCTTAGCGTATAAAGATGCCAGGCGATATCCTTTCACGTTTTTGAATACGTATATCCTGAAATGCGTACATCTCGAAATACATATATCTTTATATCGAAACCTCACGTGCCTCAGTGCAATCTGAAACAGTACTTTCACAATTTCAATCAAAGTGCTGCGCGCGTTATTTTTATTTTCTCTAAATTTTCCTACCGGCCTGTACAACAGTATTTTGGCGAATTTGAAACCAAAACGTCTCAACGGTCGTAGAAGCTCGTGTGGTTAATGATGGCAACTTCTCCGGCATCAGTATTGCTGCGCAACTGTTTACTGAACACCTTTAATCAAGGACTATTTTAAGATTTTAAAACTACTATAGTTTTCATATTAAAGCTGGAAATAGAATTATTATTTTAGAAGTTAAATAATTTTTTATAGGTTAGAAATGAATGGACAGATATTCTTGATGATTTTCCACTTGTCATGTCGAATGCACACCTTATGCTGTTAACATTACTCGTCCTTCTGCCAACATATGCTGATCTGGTGCTGCTTGTTTTTGATAACTCGGCTAAGAGATATTAAGAGATTGTGGAACTGACTCAGAGATGCTTCTAACAAGAATATGCAGCATGCCAAACATTTAGAGATGACATCGAGAAGAGAGAAATCATCAAGCAGAAGACACTGTGACTCACAATCTCAAAACTCCATTAAAATACAAGCGAACTAAATTTGCATTTTGACCGGAAACGGAAATAGAGAAGTGACAGTATAGAATAACCGGTTAATTAACATAAATAACTTACAAGTATTTCCAATGAACATTTTAAACATACCAGTATAAAACATGAACACTTCTTTGGCGGAACTGTATTTATGAAAAAGCTCATCGTAACAAGTTTCTGATGCTTGAAGACTCCGGAAAGAATATTCAGTTTAACTAGCCGAGGATCATTTTTAAACGAATTTTTGAACTATAAATACAAAATTAAAATATATTTGCTGACGATGCTTTAGACAAGCAAAGACTTTTGAAAAATATTTTCTTTATCGTGTACTTAGAAGATTATTTTGTGCAAGTTGCTCTTATTAGATTTAAAACTAACACGGTTTGTTAGTTTATTTAGTTTTTAAACGAATTTTGGTTTAAATTAAGGTTTATGCATTTAAAATAAACTTCCAGGATTCCTTAAAGGTAAAATTATTAGTAATTACTAAATACATGCACCATGCCGAGTTACCCAAATCATGCATGCAATGCCAGCAGTGTGGCTGACGAAGGGAAATTATTACTTTGAGTCCATGATTACATACGTATTCGATGTGATACACAATGTAGAAGGAGTTCGTCCAGATGCTTTAGAATATTTTTGTCCATTCATTCTCGATCCATACTGAAAACTTTGAATTCTATTTTATAAGAAATCAGCCTTACGAAATTAAACTTCGCGTTGGGTTACTGTAGCATCAAAATGTATCATTTCAGGTACTTTCTATTTAATTTATGCAAATGCATTTAGAAGCTATATAATTAAATCGCAAATTATGCATTTAAAAACAGCGCTCAGGCATTTATATTATATTATTTCTCAGTGACTATAGACATGGCATTTACATAATATTTAAATTTTATAAAGAATTTTAAACAATATGATATTTATAGCTCTTCTTCTGCCATTATTTTAGCTATAAACTCTGACGCTCTACATTAGAAATCTTTAATAATCAATCGATTTTAGATATTAAAGAATTGTATTGTCACATAGTGGTTTAGAAGACAGGAAGAACCGAAAGAATTTAGACTGAGTTGTTGCACAGTTGATGATGAGCATTTTGACGATACAGCAACTAATGAGCGGCAATATTTTTGTATAAATATTTTTCTATGACCTGTCTTTAAATTTTGCGTATGCGGAAGTTTATGTTTAGATGTGAACATTTTGAATTCCTTAAAATAATCATTATACAATATATGCTTGTTTATCACTTGTTGTATTCGAGAAAACACAAGCATGTTAACTTTATCTAAACGTTTAAATTAGTTTTGTGTTATTTGCAATATCTTTAGACTTGCCAGAGCCGTCTTTAGAAGTGGAGTAACTGTAGCGGTTTTATATTTTCGGCCAAATATCGTTTTAATTACGTGCAAAGAAACTGTAAAGATACTAAAGAAAAAAACATTTATTCGAAGGGGTATTTTTAAGTACTTATTCAGTTGAATTTCATTCGAATTATGCAAATTTCTAAACGTGATATTTATCAGAATCTCAGTCTTGCCCAGTCACCTCACTTACTAAACATGGCTCTGTTAAAACCTAAGCAAAGGTAGCCTACATGGAGCCACACTAAAGGTAAGGGGATAGTTTGTAACTTGTTTAACTAGCCGAGGATCATTTTTAAACGAATTTTTGAACCATAAATACAAAATTAAAATATATTTGCTGACGATGCTTTAGACAAGCAAAGACTTTGGAAAAATATTTTTTTATCGTGTACTTAGAAGATTATTTTGTGCAAGTTGCTCTTATTAAATTTAAAACTAACACGGTTTGTTAGTTTATTTAGTTTTTAAACGAATTTTGGTTTAAATTAAGTTTTATGCATTTAAAATAAGCTTGCAGGATTCCTTAAAGGTAAGATTATTAGTAATTACTAAATAACGGAATACAAAGACTTGAAGTAGTTTTTCGTTTTAAATTCTATTAGCTGCTTGAAAGAATTTTTGTTTATTACCCTGGGCTGACTGCTTTCTGATTTAAATTTCACGTTTAAGATTGGAACTCAAGTTATTCTTTATAGGGATTTATCTTAAAGGAGGATTTTTCTAGGAATTTATGTTTAAGCATTTGTTGACTTTTCAGAGTGAATTTGCAGTCGTTAATAATGCAAACTTAGATCTTCAATCATTTATCCGTCATATACAATCCTTTGTATAAATATATCTTTCAATGATTGAATATAATGCTTTATTAATAAACAGTGTGGTGTTTTGTTGTATAAGAAGAAACGACATTTGCGAAAGATTAAATTAGTTTATGTCTTAGAATTTTAAATGTAATATTTATAACTGGCTACAATGAGAGAATGACGAAAAGGAAGATTATTGTTTTAAAGCTGATTATTCCGAGCGTATCTTATATGGATTTTGAAAGCGCACTTCAGGTTCAAAGTCATAATTTCAGTGGAAACTTAAAAGCTTTACGCTAGAATGGCTGAAAAGAAATTGCCATCTCGAAAATTTAGTTTTTAAACTGGTGCAGGATCTTTTCCATTTCATTCGTATCGAAATTTGAGTAAATCAACAAAACAATCCCTCGTATCATCTGCAGCGTAGAAAGCAATGTTACGCGTGGCCTCTTAACCTTCTTGAAAATTAGGGCGTTGAGGAAAAGATTTTCATCGTTGCTGGGAGTTAAAAGAAATAGACAACGTCCAGCAAAATGTTGTAATTTTCCTTCTCGGTTATTTTAGGCACTTTTCTTTTGCTCGCTTTTGATGTCCTTCCTCTTAAAGGGCGTCTACATTTAAGGGTCAGCGATGTGAAGGACATAGTACCTAAGAAGGTTCTTTCCTTCAAAAACAGACTGGTTTAGGACTGTTTCTCAAGATCACTGATGTTTCATCTCTGCTGGTAAAGCACAGCTAAATTTATCAGTAGCCAAAGGGCTTCTAGAAGAATATATTTTATTGCTAGTGAAAATAAGTTTTTTCCTTTTCCCTCTCTCTCTGTCACATATATATATATGTAGTGGTTTTAAAATACCTTTCAAATAAGATAAACCTCCTCATTTCGTTATTTCACTTCGCGGTTGATTTATTGATTTCTTTTAAAAACTTGTTTAAAATTAAAAACCAAACACAATCACTGAAATCAAGTGTTTCTTCCTAGGTTCTGTTTCCTTTCTGAAACTGCAAACTGTGCAGAATTTTTGCAATTTCCGTCAGACATCTGCTATAGACGTGTATGCAAAAATATATTACAAATTGAATGTTTTCCTTAGTATAGATAGTTGTAGTGTTCCTTAGAGGAAAAGCAGATATATAATGAATGTTTTAGCTACACGTTCTGAATTTAGTTAAAGGAAAGACGGAAAGGACATTAATAAAAATTAAAAATAATATTTAAAAGTCTTTTGATAGATCTGAAAAATATTTTATTTTACATTGTTAATGTAATTAGCAATGCTAAAATGTAAATTAAATACAAAATAATTATTTTTAGCATACTTATCTAAGGAACTTATCCTTCTACTTAATCAGTAAGCCCTCGTATACTTAAACTTGATTGAATGATTAAACCAATCTTCCAGTTATGTTCCTTTATAATTTAGAACAAATACTTTATGGAAAATGCAAAAAATGCGGTTTATTGCCCAATATTTATAGGAGAGTCAGTTGAGCCTTTGGTATTGGTTACAAGAATTGAAGCATCTCAGAAAATACCCGAGCATATTTGTGCGCGTTGAGGCCCGAATAACGGAGTGATAATGCTTTATGGGTCAAGTATCAACATTAAAATATGATACGTTTATGGATGGGAGAAGATGAATCTTTGAATGACATCACATATTAGTATTTTGACGTGATGTCTGAGACGGCCATCTACCTCTAAGCTGACGATAATTTCTAGCGCTACTAAGTTAGAATTTGTTACTTAGTTTCCAGATTTTCATTTGATGGTTTATAGCATTAATATGAAAAGCTACTATATTAATGCTAGCCCCACACAGGAGAATGAGAGTGACTAATTGGCAAACAGTCACGTAGCAGTGCATACATAACCCGAGAACCAGTTCTGCCGTCAGCAGTATGTCAGTTGTTAGAATAGAAAATGTTGCTTTTTATTGCATGGATTTATAAAATATAAATTGTAATCTCTGAATTGGCCTAGCTTGTGAATTTTTAACGTGTTTGTGCGCGTGAATTTTGTGTGTTGTTTGTTTCAAAAGTAGTCCAAAGGTGCGCAGAATATGAATCTAACCGTCCGTTGAACGCTGCTCATTGATATCGGAGGCCAGCGGAGACAGTCCAGGCTATCGTCTTGGGAAGTCTCCCTTAAGACAGTTCTGGGCGTAGTGATAAATTATGTTAAACGTTATCCAAATAATTAATGGCCCAAAATTATCTGGACATAAACTTAATCGAACGCTTGCCGTTCGAAGAGGAGAAGTGGTTTCGATCTGAATAAAGGCAATCAGCTTGAAAATAATACTTTAACTAGAGGACTTGGTGTTTAGCATAAGGCAATGAAAGGTTCTCTTAAAATTGAGGCGTATCTGAAATATATAGCATCACCCATTTTGCTAGAGCATGATAGTTTTGCAAGTAACGATAGAACGAGGTGAAAGAATACCAGTCCATCAATTCAAAAGTGAATCATTTTTAGTAACTGAAGAAACTTTTAATATTAAAATAAGCTATTGAGATAGATTTTTTTAAATTTAAGATTTTTACTTTCCTATTTAATATTTAGGTATTGAAACATTTCTTTCTCTCCTTCTCCCCCCCCCGTCTCCCTGTCTATATATATATATACACACACACACCCCCGCAAATTATTCATCTTAAAACACAGAAAACATTTAAGGAATACTAAGTTATTCATTTCAAAGATCTGTCAAATTAAAAAACGTTAAGAAATAAATTTTTTCCGAAAGTAATTTCATTGAAGATTTATAAAAGTTTTCTCTAAAACTATCACTAGATGAAGTCTTACTTCTTTTAAAATTCAAACAGATATTTTTAATGAAGCTAACAACATTCCCAAAACTGGTAAAAGTCAGTAATTATTTTTAGGTCTTCACAGGGAATAGCACCGAAGAAGCTAAAATATTGCGTTGTTACAAATGAATTGGCCTATTTTAAGGACGACTGAAAAAAGAGGAACCAAAAAGAAAAATATATAAATTAAAATGCTGTAAAATTAAAATAATTTACAGCAGAATCAATACTGTGGCAAAGTCATTTATACCCCATTTTAAATGTCGATGTCGCTGAAAATGAGGATGTCCCCATTGCCCGATAAGCTAATGCATCGTAGCCAAAAACGAAACCCCCCCCCAAAAAAAAAACATTATTCAAGTGCCGAGAGAAGTGGTAATTGTTGAGTAAAACTAGGAGAGTATGGAGTTTGATTCACAATTTTATATTTCAAATTATTGAATTATTGTATTACTGTCACTGCCGCATTTGGTCGGGCGTCATCACGAAGCATACCGCTTCTATGTCTATTTACAAGTACTGATTGCTTAAGGCATAATTTCCGATGCCATGCGAAGAGAAGATTTTGATATCTTCTCTTCTCTGCTAGTAGAGAAGAGAGAGCCTCTTTTCTGCTTCTCTTCTTGTAAAAGGCTACTATATGGTTGCTGATCTTGCTTTTTAAATCATTTGCATATTAATTCTGGAGTATCTGCATACGGAATTTCACCCACATCGAAAGCAGTTTTCTTGTTTATTTTCAATTTTTTTTAAAGAATGAAACTACGTAATCATTCTGATCTTTGCATTGCACTGCAACAGGAGAAAACGATGTTTTTGGCATTGTTTATTTCCTGTCTGAAGAACAGATCTGTGATAGGTTTCGAGACCTTGGTAGTAATATGTATTAAAAATGTTATAAAATGTTTTATACTTTCTGCTCAAATTCAGTAGTACGACTAAAGAGTATACTGTAGGCTGCGAAACATCGATACATGGAATTTATTTTCTCTTTAATTAAAATGCTGTACTTACATTGTTACATTAAAAATATTTTTTATTTAAATGTTTCGTGACAGTTAGTCACACATTTAATTTAGATGGCGAAGGCAATAAGATTTTTGCGGTTTTCCTCTTTGTAGCTGTACGGGAGGACCGCATGCCTGGAGGCAGAAACTCGGGCGCAGTGTACAACCTATACAAAGTAAGTACCTTTTATTTTACATTCTGGGAGATCCTATATATACTCATACATCTAGCCAGCAAGTAAGTACGTACGCACGTTGTTTTATTTCAATTTTTCAATTTTTAAGCATCATAAATGTCAAAACTAGAAAACATTTTAGGTGAAACTCTTAGTTTATTTATTTATTTTTTTGGTAGCTCATCTGTATGTACATGGACGAGATGAGTTACTGTTCGCTTATATATTGCACTTGAAAATACATAATCTTGCTTATTTAACATAATTTATAAAAAGTTAGAGGTTAAATTTAATTTAGAAATCAGTGAAGAGTCTCAGTGAGAATACTGGCGGAAATAAGAGAGAAATATTATTGTTTCCTACAGTATTGTTGAAACTCAGCCCATCTTTATCACAGCGATATTGTTACGGCGAACATTTGCAGTAGAAATAGGAGAAAAACTGAAGCAATAAATTTCTTGCTTATCTGTGCTAACGTACACATTAAATTTCTTTAATTGTTTACTATTATATTGCGCATAGTTTACTTAAAATAATCGAAACGAAGGGTTATTTATTGTTTTATAACATTCGGAAGTGAATGAGAAGTTTTCAGAGGTAGTATAAATTGGTTAGAAGTAGGAGAATTTAATACGTTTAGATTTATTCGGAATTCACAAAATGAGAGATTAAACAGTCATATTGTATCTGGTTTAAAATTTTAAGCAATGTTATTTGTTATTTATTTGTAGCATTATGATTATCACATACATCTTTAGCTAGAAATAAACTAATATGGCAACGAAATTTGCCTGTTTACAAATTACCAAACATGTATATTTTTCTTTGCTTATTTGTAAGTTACCGAAGCTGTCATGGTCTGCTGTCTTGACAGTTGTCTCCCTTTACAGGTGAAATACAAGAAGCACAAAAAAGGTTCAAAGAACAACCATTTCAAACATATGGAAACAAAGATTCATAACACCACTACTGCTAATCACAATCACAATCACAACAGCAATCATCATGTCGCTGTGCCTACTCCTACTCCTACTCCTGAGTGGACGAACGGCCAGATATTGAAAGCGGCTCTTACCAGCCCTTGTGACATCGTGCAGCTGAGGCATAATTTAGAAACTTGGATTATATCCTCTCAAAGCAGGAAAATGAATCCGGATCGTGCAATGGCTCTTATTAGTCAGCTAATTAAGTGCGACGATTTTGAGGACATCGCAATTGTAAGGAATTTGGACGAACTTAAAGAAGCTAAAGCAGAACTCAGTGACAAACTTTGTCAAATCGGAGATACGATTGTGTACAAATTAGTTCAATGGACGAAACGTCTGCCATTTTATTTTGAATTGCCAGTCACAGTACACACTCAGGTCAGTAATAGACTCTATTTATTCTGATTGTGTAATTTGTGAGTATCAAATAGAAATTATTTTAGCGTCGACTATCTTCGTTTAAATTGGATTACGAGCAAAAATATAGTTTTATGTTTAGAATATTGTTTTTTTAGTTGTGTTACAATTGACTTAATTTATTAACTGTTTGTAAAGAGTGAATATTTTTGAAATTTATATTTCTACCTCCCTAAGAGTTTTTTTGGTTAATATCAATATACACGACCATTTTTCTTTAAAAGTCGTTCAAGAAGTCATCGTCCCTTTAAGCAGATAGTCCTTGTGTGCTTAACCGCATTGAATTTTATAAATATACTATCTTAATATCAAGCTTCAATCTTATGGATATTTCATTTCATCAAAAAGCAATATCAATATCTTGAAAACGATCGAATGAAATGTTTACCACACTGATAGCATTTTGAAGAAAACGGGCAGCAAGTTTGTAGAGACATTAGGAATTTTTTTTGGAAGCAGAATCCTGGGTGTGGAGAATCATCATCGAACACCCTTTTAGTTCGTGCGTCACTGTAGGGACATTAGGATTTTTCTTGGAGCCAAAAGAGATGAAAAATTAGCAACGCCTTTGCCAGGAATCGAACCGCGGACATCTGGAATACGCACCCAGCGTGCAGACCACCACACCACGAAGGCATGCCAAGAAGGTGGGAGAAATACTTTATAAGTTTTCGTTACTTTTTCATTAATGATTTCAGGAAATTTTTCGATGCCTTTTTAAGCTGAGGAGATCATTTGACCAGACAGCTAATCAAAGTGCTCTTTGTAATATATTTAAATATCTTAAACTGAATTACGACTAGATTAACTTGTTGAAGAAAACAGATTTCATTTATTTGTTGGTGCTAAATTACAATGATTTTCGAAAATATTTTTAACCCTCCATGCAAAAAATGATGCCAGTATAAAATATGCAACACTTGTGATGACAAGAAACAAAGTCCCAGCCCACCTAGCCGGTTTTCATCCGGCTATATTACTAATTAGATCAGCCTATCTAACAACAAACGAAGGCCACCAGTGACCGGCTGGGCTTATAAAAACTGTTTCATATACATTTCATTTTCATTAATCAAAATTTGAATCTAGACAAAACTTCATCGGATTCAAATTATTTAGCTACTGTAAGTATTTAGCCTGTGGGACTGCGAGCTTTGTTCGTTATAAACTTCGTCCCATAGGAGTTGAATATACAAGAACTCCCGCGAGTCTAAAGAGATATGTTCTTGAGGATATTTATATATCGTATTTAAATGTGACTGTGTTTTTACGTAACACGGGTATTTTCGTAGTTTTTCTGATGTATACCTAAAATACGAGTCATATTCCTCTAGGTACTCTTCCTTGAAGGCATCATTCTCTTTAGACAGACAGCCCTTTTGTGTTTTGCTGGATTCAATGAACAAACGTCCGTATAAGCAGCATAATAAAATAAAATTAGTTTTAATTCTAAAATTAAAATTTCTTAAGTTTCAGCCTAGTACTTTCGTTTTGTTTAAGCTTTTATTAGGTATAAATTTAGAAGAAAATTATATTTAAAAATAAAACTCATCCTAAAAGTAAGATTATTGCTTTAATATCTGCTTGTAATGTTGCTATAAACTATAATTGATCCTTTTTTCTTTTCTTTCTTTCTTTTTTTGTAAAGTTCAATTTATTTTAAAATAACTATGTATGATTCATATGCACATTTACTTTTCTATGTCTCTGAAATTATCCTAAAATTTAGCTGTTATCGCACAAGTGGCATGAGTTACTGGTTTTGACAACATCAGCATATGTCGCTATTCGTTCTAACAACAACAATAACAACAACAACAACAACGGCCCCAGTTCAAGCGGCTACAACAGTGTTACGATTAACGGAAGCGGATCCCGATGTTCTGAGGATGAACTCCAGCATGAAGTTGGAATAGGTTTGAGCGCTCTCCATTCTGTATTAGGAGCACTGGTGGATGGGGCTATTTCCTTGGAGCAACTAAGAATGGAAGCTGGAGAACTTGTAGAGCAGCTTACTCAACTCACTGCAACGTTCCGAAAATTACAGCTTTGCTTGGAGGAATATGTTTGCTTAAAAGTAGTGGCTATGCTGAGTCAAGGTAATTAGTTTTTACACATCTTGCATGCTTGTTAGTAAATAATTTTTGCAATAACATTCAGTCGAGTTCCTAAACGTTTATATATTAACGATTTTATATTATAATAATTTGTAACTGTCGATTTTCAGTTGGCATGATGTGAAGTTTGGCGTTCATTTTGAATAAATGCCGAATAAAAGTTGAATTTTACCCGAAGTGAAAATAACCGCCTCAATTTGATGCAACGTTCCAGAAATTATAGCTTTGATTTGAATTCGTTTTGAACAAATGCCGAATAGCATTCGCTCTTAAACAAATACTGTGTAGGGTTTATATTTATTTTAACTAACATTTATTTTAAGTTTAAACTATCTTTCCTGTCAAGCCTTACTTTCCCCTGGACTGCCAATGCCAGAGTATGTAAATTTTAGTAGAAACGCGCAAGATTCAAATTATCAGCGGAAGTATTCTGGTTAAATAGAAAGGAAACGAGTTTCGAAGTGTGCTGTTCTTACTTCACGAGCGCGGAGGTAGTTAGCCAGAAATTGAAGAACCCCGCGTTTCGGCCTGTGTGCTTGCCTCGGAGAATTGTTAATCGTTCAACGTGATATTCAAAGTTTGCTGAATTAGCAGCGGTATTGTAAAAACGCGGGTGAAGTTAGTTACTTTTAGAGAGCCTCGTAGTTAGAGTCCTGTTATTATTTCTTTTCAGGTTCTTTATTTTTATTTTATTTACCGCCGGGTCGGCGTAGTTTTGTGAGCGTCAAGAGCCGCAATTGTAACTTCTTAAGTTGAATAAAAAGGGGACTTAAACCCTTAGCAAGACTCTGTCATTTTTCCAGTTTCAACAGTCACCTCTTGGTTGCGTGCAAGTTGGAGGCGCGCAACTCTACAACTGAATAAGTTGTTTTTCTCGAAATATTAAGACTTCAGACTGACATTGAATCTTTCGTGTTTGTTAATGCCAAAGAAATGTTAAATCTTATCGACTCTTACAGTTCACATTTCTCACGCTGTAAGGTTTAATTTTAATTAACCGGGTTATCTATTTTTTTTTTTTTTTTTTTTTGGCTTTACTACAAATTTTACTCTCGTCAGCCTCCACCAGAATGCAATTAGATTATAAATAAGCTTCGAGTTGCTAAGTTTTTCAGAAAACGCTTTAGTAGCATAGGGAAGCTGTCAGTGTTTTGGTTTTTTGATGTTGAAATTCAGCTTGCCGGCCGATGTTTATCCTACCGATATTTTCGCGAGCGCTTTGTCAGGAGTGAGTCATGGTTTAGGGCTAGGATTGTAAATTTTATACTTTGCTTTTGAATCAGTTTGAACGTGTGTTTTGTTTACCTACAAGTCGGGAAACTTCGCGATTCCTGTTAACGTTTACAGCTTGTATAAGCGTTATATCGACTTGTTGTTAAATAGTTTTTCAACTTTTGCCATTTATTAATTTAGAATTCAAACAACAAAAACCAGCGTTATATTTGCAAATTTCCACAGGACTAGTTTCGATGGTTTTAACGGAACCATCATCGTCAGCTGCCAAAGCGCAAATGAACGAGATAAGAAATAGTGATGAGATCGAAATAAGATATAGCGAGATATTTGCGCTTTGGTAGCATCGAAACTAGTCCTGTGAAAATTTGCAAATATAATGCTGAATTTTGTTGTTTGAATTCTAAATTAATACTTGTTCGGCGTGTTTTTTATCTTAATTATTTTGCCCTTTAATTAAAAGTTAAAGTGACGAAAAGTTGTCTGACAGTCAATTATGGTTACTTTGGGTGATTTGGCAATTTAAAGTTAATAACATAATCATGTAATATATCTCTTGAATTTGTAAACATTGAACTGGCTAACCCATTTTACAGTTTTTTACGTTTTTCAGAGTAGAAAAGGTTTACTTACAGATAGATGTAGATAAAAAAAAGTACAGGCAGAGCCACAAAATATATGCCTGTCGTTTTAGTCACATACCAAAGTTTGGTTTAAATTTTTGACTTTAATGAGAAAATAATAATTACTGGAATTTAATAAGAGATAACAATATAGGTACCTCAGCCAAAGTTCGAATCTAGGTAAGAGGTTGCACCAAATCCAAGTCGGCTATCTACACCGTCAGCTCAGCCGCCACGTCTGTGAACTTGTTCACCTTAAACTTTGTTCTTTTGATTTAATCGTACAAAAAGTGCCTAGCTTTTAAGCATGATAATATTCCTGAGAACTTCTCTAAGCTGGGTTTGCAGGCAGTGGTTTTCTGATGGAAAAAAAATGTGCTAGAGGATCAGAGATTGGTTCTACTGCTGAAGAAAGAATTTGACTGATTTGTTACAATTCAGGTATTGAGTCTTTTGCTTACGCAATTGGGAATAAACTACTTCTCGAAATATTAATTTAATTATTTAATTATATAGTATCTTTATGAAGAGCCTTGGCTTTAGTTCCCTTTTAACCCACGGAATTTCCATATATAAAAGTGATATGTAATTTTATGTCGCCTAATACAGCAGTTTTCCTCTGTTAACCAAATGTTTATTTTCTCGCATCCGGTTAACAGAGGCGAAATATAAACGTAAGTGAAAATGTGTTCGACAGGGCTGGGGAGATATTACCAATCGCTGCTGTAAAAAGAATGTGCATGGATATTTAAACTTATAATCGAAAGGGCGTGGAGTCTTAACTGATTAAAATTTTCATTTTTGAACGTGAATTCTTGCTTCATGTTACTGTTTCCGTGTAAGTCGCGGAGCATTTACTACGCTTCTGAGAAATTTTCTTTAAAACTGCTGCCTCATTGTGATAATATCTTCACTACAGACTTTTATGCAGACCGAATCATCATGTATTAGGTTTAATTATCAATGAAGGAAATAATTAACAGTGTTATTTAAGAACTTTGGTCCTAAAGGGCACCATTCTAATTTATTATCGATCAGAACTAGAATCTTCGACGTTTACTTTAAATTTCCTATTCTTCTAGTACTTGTGCATTATAGTTTAATGAATGCTTGAGACCAAAACAAGTGAGTACGACTGTACGTGATGGCTTCGGTCCACACTTTGTCGGTTGCGTTTTCGAAAACAAAGATGCATAGGGCTCCACAACTCATTTTCTAGTTAAGGAATTTGTAACGTACTAGTGACTTTTAGGACCTGATATATTATAGAATTGTTCTTTCTAAATCCGAACTAATTTTTGTTGAACTAAATTTTATTTATCTAGGTGCCTTATGAATATTTGAACAATAAGACTTGCTAGATAAAATGCAGAGCTACCTGATTTTTACCGTAATTTTCCGAGTTTCTTAAATAATGCCTTTAAGGTTATTTTCCATTTATCAAAGAAATTTATTTCTAAGTTAAGCATTATAAGATTTTACATAGAAGACTTATCTCTCTTTCTTTCTTTCTTTTTTTTTTTTTTAAATACTGAACTTTGTAAAGTTTCACAATATTTAATAATCTTATGTAGTTTTTGTCCTTCAGAAATCCCTAAAGAAGCAAAAAAGACTTTTCATTTTATTTTATTCATAATTCTGTAGTTAAAAAAATGAAAATGAGTTCTTACTTTTCCCATAATGATTATATTGCATGCTGGATTTATTTTTATTAAATTTCGATTTATTAAATCCAACATTTAGGATTAATGTATTCAAACTGATTAATGTATCAACGTACTCTTTCAAAGCATATAAGTTAATTAGTGGTTAATTTTACATATTGTGCTTAATTATTTCAGAGAGCTACCAAGGACAACAAGATATTGAAAAGATCCAGGATAGGTACTTGACAGCTTTGACGGTTTTTGTACAGAATCGGTTCCCACAACAAGCCAGCAGACTAAGAGAGCTACTTGCTTGTTTATCTGAAATACAATCCGCCGGTGAGCTTTTGCTGCGTTCGAAGATGTTTTTTGTTCCCTTGTTCTTGAATGTGAATTGTGCTAGATAGCATGGAATAACAAACACTTTTATCTGTTTGCAACATTCACCTCCTGGAATTAACTAAATGATGACTAGATTATGGGGATGCCATTACAGATTGGGCGACTGCAATGTTCGACTAGTCAGACTATCAAGGAAAGGCGTCCGGACGAGTGGTATTGGTGACTAATTATAAAGGAAAGAAACCATGATGTGCAATAGACCGATTTAAGAACGTTGTGTACAGATATACAAGATTTGTAAGATTTTTTTTTCGTTTTTAAGCATTGTAGAAAATCTTACATCCTCCAAGGGTACATTCTTGCTATTGACTTATTAAAGCAATTTTTGTTTTGTCTGAAATAGTTTCTTTCTATTTTTGTAATACACAGCTGTCGAATTAAAGTGTACACACAGACAATCTTTAAACAGCACGGTTGTTAAGGACTGATAACAGCTTGTCGTTAACACAGTATTTTTATAATATGAAGGCGAAGGAGAGAAAATATGATTAACAAACTGATAAAGAAGAGAAAATATCTGCTCATTTTTGCATGTTAGTTCAGTATTTCCTAAACGTTTTCTTACTCATGCCTACAGTTCTTGTGAGTCACATGCATATAATTGCTTTGAGAAAACAGAATAAGAAGAAAGTTCTGTGAGGACATAACGTAATAATGAGGGGATAATAAATAAATACTTATAATTACTAACAGTTAATTAGTAATCACTACTTATTTAATAATTATAAATGAAATATCATATATGATTATATAAAAAAAGAAAATACTTTAATACGTTTCGCGGCCCATCAAAAATTGTCTTTTGAGCTACAGTTTAGGAAACATTCTTATGTAGTATTTATCGATACCCTGTTTTACGTCCTTTGTCTATAAATGCACTCGAATCCGAATGTAACTAAATGGCTGGGATAATATTCATTTAATTGAGATACACCAAAATACATGCTCACAAATACAGTGAAGCATACGTAGTTTACAGATCATTTCGCGCTATGATATATGATATACATTGGAAAAGCCTAATTAAGCCATAGAGCCAGTTGTGGTCAGGTAAATGGTCTGCTCCCCGTAAACAAACTATGATACACGCACTTAGATCTCGTATGCTATACACATTTCACATTGTTGTATATTTCACTATAACTGCTGCAGGGCTGACCACTATAACCGGCGGCAGAATTTAGGGCAGTAAAAGTGTTAGAACTTGGAGATGCATCAAGCAACAAAATTTAGGGATGGTAACTGTTATAAAATCCAGGGTAAGCACTTTAGCAGAATTTAATAACTACGAAATATTTAGAATTTAAGGAGGCACAGGGCAGTAGAATTTAGAAATCTTAGAGATTGCACCAGGCGGCAAAATGCGTATTGCCGGCTTTGCGTATAAGTGAAAGCCGCGCCTTTTATACGTATGTACACGTACATACATATATATTTAAATCTCATATCGAATTCTGCTTAAAATATAGCAGGCTGTTATGTAAATTTTCATAAACTAATTCAAAAAAATTCACCGTTGTATGAATTAATATTTTTCAGTTCTTTAATAAATATGCTTTTACTACATTTCCCTTGTACACATTAAGCCACTTCACTCCAATCATTACAGTTGTGGGAAGCATTTCTTGAAGACTTCCTGATCTCAGTGTGTTATAGTTAAAATTATGGCTGTCTTTTGAAAGTAAATAGTTAAAAACACTTGCGCATAGATAATTTTTGGATAAAGGAAAGTATTTAAGATATCAAGTAAAGACATAGTATTTTCGATATTTATTTAAATCACACTGAGCTCTTAATAGCTCACATCAACTTTTATAATATATAGACATTTTAAACATAACCCCTTCGCACTATAATGTTACGAATTTTTGTAGATATGTAAATAGTTTTAGTGACGTTATGTTTAAAATTGTGGTATCTTTTATGTAGTGTAACATTAAAAATCTGAAGAGACAAAGTTCTGTCGGAAAAATACGATTACTGGGCTAAATCTACTATTTAACATTGAGGTAAACGGCTATTTGGCTAAATTGGCGAGATACTACAAAAGTAATGAGGATTTTGGCGACTAATTTTTGTTGCCAAAATTAATGAGAAACTTTCAAAAGCAATTAAAATTTTCAAAGGTAATTAACAGTGGCACAATAATTCCTATCCGGTTTAAATAAACACTTGCTCCAGTATGTTACGACAAGTAACAAAACAGCACCAATAGACTCGTTGCTCGCATCCAGGTTAAGTATAAATGGTTTGTCGACCTGAGGATATGTCAAAATTTTCCAGATGTTAAAGCCTCCTTCAGTTTGTTATATGCATTCTCGCATTCTTTTGTTCTTTCTGTTTTGCTTGCTTTCTGTTTGTTTGTGAACTGGTCTTTCGATGGAAGAAAAGTCCTTCACAAATCTCCTATATTCGGTGCAAAGTCCCAGGAAACTTTTAAGCTGATGCATATTTTCGGGGCTTCTCCAGTTTTTAACTGCCTACACTTTATCTGGATCCTTACACACACACACCTTCGGCAGAGATGACATGTCCGAAGTAAGTCACTTCCTGTCTGAACAATTTACATTTCACAACGTTCAGGCTTGCTTTATTTCATCTCCGAAGTAACTTCCTAATACTTTCTAAATGCTTTTCAAAACTCTTCCCGAAGATGAAGATGTCATGCAGGTATATCAGACAGGCTTCGGAGGAAAGACATTTCAGCACGGTCTCCATGAGGAATGTCACGACCATTTGGCGACATTTTGGTTCGATCCCTGTATAAGTGTAATCGAATAACTGTGATTCCTAGTGTAAATGTAACCATATCTAGCCCTTATATGTAACTTTAATCGTATAATGTCTTCCAGTAATTTCGAGAAATGCAAGGTACTAGAAAATTCTCGGCGGCTGGGGAAAACTATATAAGACCGGAGAGAGTATCAATTCTCAGTTTTTTAATTCAGAGATGAATTCGCAATATTGAGACATCTCCGTGTGAGCTTTGCTCTTGGGATGTGCTTTGCATTGCGTTATATTTAGCGTTCTTAGCAGTTTGAAGTGTAACTACTGATTGTATTCTGTGAACGAGTATTTTTGTGCAAAGTTCCAGAAATGTAAAGTGTTTCCTTTTGGTAAAATAAATTTTAACAAGCTATCATCGGTTCTGTGTGCATTCAGTCTATTACGAACCCGTACGCAAGCAACAATAATTAAATCTACCCCATGATCTAAATGGGTGATCCTCCTATAGTCCAACTGCGCGAATCAAAATTTCTCCTCACGTGCTTTGTCTTATTCATTTAAATAAAAAATTTTCAGGAAATGCATGAAAATTCAGTGCAAAAAATTGAATAGATATCTGACTCACAAATCAAATCATCAGTACCCGTAATGAGATTTTATCCCTATCAAAGTAACAGCAGTCAGTTGCAGCATTTTAGAGAAACTCAATTTTAATTCTTAACAAAGACAGGGCATCTCATTTCAGCAGTCAGTTGCAGCATTTTAGAGAAACTCAATTTTAATTCTTAACAAAGACAGGGCATTTCATTTCACTGCACAAGATGATTTTGCTGGTATAAAACTGTTTTCAATTGCAGTTAAGATCCATTACTTTCCAAATGTGGCTACTCGGTCGTTCACGAGCTTAGAACATTTCCTGTATATACAGGCCAACCAATTGGCTGAGTGGATAAGATCGTTGGACAGTGGTATTTAGAATGATGTTCTAATTTCTGTTACTACACGAGGTTTTAATAGTTTTTCCCACTACAATATGAATACCTGCTAACTTAGAAAGTCTCCACAAAGGAATTCACCTGCATCTTTAGCTGTTTATTTTGCAATGAAACGCAGATAAAAAAAAAGCAGAAATTGAAGAAAAAAAAAAAAAAAAAAATGTGTATTTTTCGGAGTACTTTTATTTGTCTTGCTTACTTAAATTAACTAAAACAATTCTTAAATGATTCACATTTTAACGGTTGCCCAAAAGAGTTCTTAAGTTTAATATGCTTATCCGTAAGGATTATTAATAGAAATGTGCCAGGTGGAATTGTAAAACATCTTATAGGACGCTAGAGGAACACACATTTAGACTAACATGAAATAGTTATATACCTTCTGTATGTTTGAAAAGTGAAAAAATATGTAACGAAAATTGATACTATTTCTATAAAAATATTTAATGTTTTTAATTAGATATATCATGAATTAAATGCATTTTTATTTAATTTAATCAGATTAAAAAGTAAAAATAATATTTTTGAGAACTGCATCTGTTGCTTTTTAAAGAACTTTGTTACTCAATAACATTTTGCCAAATGGCAACAAACTCGAATGAAAAGTGAAATAATTCAAAATCATGTTTCAAGACTAATGTCCCTTTTGGACTAAAAATAAGTTCTTATACAGCAATGTCTGAGCTAACTGAATTGATAAGTCTGTCATTTCTAACATTCATGTCGTAAGGCATGCCCGAAGAATCATCGTATGCTTTTTCTACATTTGAATGAAACATCGATAGAAACCAGGTAATTTGCATGAAAATGATTTCAGTATTACTCCAAAGAAACGAAATCTTTCTTAAATGCCTTCTCTTCATATATTCCTTTCTTTTCAATAAAAGTTTATTTATACAGATTAATAATCTTATTTTTGAACACTTCTGAAAAGCATCTTATTTTGAATACTCGTATTTTGAAAAACAAAAATATCAAAAATAAATTTGCACCTTCTGTTGCGCCATGTTTCACAATGTAAACGGAATTAGAATTTGAAGTGTTACTACTCAGTTAAAAACTCTAGAAAAGCAATTCTCAACCGGTGGTACGCAAAGGAACAAAGTATTTTTAACATGAATTTCAAAAATTAAGTACCCGCAACATTCTGTTTAAGTTTTTTCGCTAGTACTCGTAAATTTATGAGATCTGCGCTTTGTTCAAGGTCAACAGCCGCTCATAGACTTTAGCAAAGTAATAAATTTTTATTTTCACAAATATTCTTTTAGCCATTGTTATAAAAAATTGTCATAAATGATACTTTTAAAAGGAGTAATAGAAATGGATATTGTATTTAATAGGAAATAAAAATAAGTTCCTATAAAAAGATAATAGTATCTCATTATTTCTTTTAGAGTTGATCGATTTATTAGCATGTGTACACTTTATTTGTCGCCACCATTTCCTCACTCGTATTTCTCTATTTTTCAATTAGAATAATTTTTTTACGTCCATTTGCTGTCTCTTACAACAACTATTTGGTCTTTGTTGCTTCGTATTCCTTACTTTTCTAGGCTATTTGAGAATAACGTGGTTTATCTTTGAAGAATTCGTAATATATTGTGTATTTAAATACTTG